AAATTGATGGCCAGGCGCGGTGGCTCACGCCTGTAATTCCAGCACTTTGGGAGGCCGAGGTGGGTGGATCACCCGAGGTCGGGAGTTCAAGACCAGCCTGACCAACATGGAGAAACCCTGTATCTACTGGGAAAAAAAAAAAAAACGAAATTAGCCAGTTGTGGTGGTATATGCCTGTAATCCCAGCTACTTGGTAGGCTGAGTGGGAGAATCGTTTGAACTCGGGAGGCGGAGGTTGCAGTGAGCCAAGATTGCGCCATTGCACTCCAGCCTGGGCAACAAGAGCAAAAACTCCATCTCAAATAAATAAATAGGCAATTTACTATTTATTTAATAAAGCTTTTATAAAGCTCAATATGCCCATAATCTCAGTGTATATAAACTGAATAGGACCAATTTTTTTTGTAGTTCTGTTTTTATTTTTATTTTATTTTTGCCCCCTCCCCCAAGTTCTGTTATTAAATGTCTTCTTTTTCTCTTTGTGCTATCTTCTCAGTATAAAAACTGGAAACATGTCTGTGGAACTATTTTTCCCTCCTTTTCTTAGACACTTCTCTATGCTCCTTAAGAGATACTTTTTCCCATTGAGTCACCCCTCTTTTTTCAAAAAATTAATATAGCTCTGTAAGCTAGAGATGGTGTATCAGGGAAACTTTTATAAGAATTGCTTTGTAAGGGGCCTCATTTTAATGATAAAAATGAGCATTCCCTTTCTCTTCTGTTATGTCTGGTGCTCAGAGCATCTGCTTCACCAGCTGGAGTACAAAAACTGGTTCAGATCCCAGTTTTATGATAAAGTAGTAAGTCTCAGGGGTAGCTAATAATGATGACAAGGATTTTTCAGCTTATATTTTTCTTGCATTTTTTGCTTTTCAAACCATTTCCATGTGTTCCTATTTAATATGAGCTACTTAGTGAATAAGAAAAAGCATTTAGAAATTACTGTTTTACTCATGAGGAAACTGGAGCACAAAAGAAACGGCCATACAACCAGGTAGTTCATCCATTCGGTAAGTAGTGATTACAGTGATTCTTGCCACGGGTGTACACCCTTATCACCTTTGGTGCTTTAAAACAAAACACATGCCCAAACCTCACTCTTAGATAGCTCATCTGACTAGAGTGGGCCTGATCATCATCTTTTTCTTTTTCAAGATCCGCAAATGATTCATGTGGTCGTCTGATAAAAGAACCACCCTACTGCGTACTAGCAGAAATTGTGCTAGTAGATAACAGCTGGAAGTAGAAATTGTTTGCCTTTACTTAGTCTGATGGTTGGCGTTTTATTATTATTTTATTTATTAATTTTTTTTTTGAGATGGAGTCAAGCTCTGTTGCCCAGGCTGGAGTGCAATGACATGATCTTGGCTCACTGCAACCTCAACCTCCCAGGTTCAAGCGATTCTCCTGCCTCAGCCTCCTGAGTAGCTGGGATTACAGGCACGCACCACCACACCTGGCTAATTTTTGTATATTTAGTAGAGATGGGGTTTCACCATGTTGGTCAGTCTGATCTCAAACTCCTGACCTTGTGATCTGCCCACCTTGGCCTCCCAAAGTGCTGGGATTACAGGCATGAGCCACTGTGCCTGGCTGAATTTTATTCTTTACTGCTCTAGTATATAACTATCTAAGTTTCTGTTGTCAGCCAAGAGCAATATAGCATTGAAGTTAGTGGGTCACCATCAGCACTTTTCTTTGTGTAGACCTTCAGAAATAGGAGACACTGGATTTTTAAAATTATGTATTCTCTATATATGCACCAAAATCTTATATATGTTAGTAACTGAAATAATAAAACTGAAGACCCACACATCTTAAAAAGCAGTCACTACCCTCAACACTGTGAATATACTAAAAAGCATTGAATTGTATACATTAAATGAGTGAACTGTATGGCTTGCGAATTATATCTCAAAAAAGCTGTTAAAAAAAGCCATGATCACTACCATGATATTTTTTTTGTGATCCACAGTTTACAGTCTCCTTGTTGAGAAAATGAAAGTTTCTCTCTCCAGGGCTCCCAAGTGGTATCTTTCATTTGCTTGCATATCCATGCGTATATAATTAATTTTTTCACAGCATACTCTTGAAATAATATTAACCCACAACAGAAGAAATACAAGGACTTAGGTATGCCTTTAGAAGTTATTAATATTTGGCCGGGCGCGGTGGCTCAAGCCTGTAATCCCAGCACTTTGGGAGGCCGAGGCGGGTGGATCATGAGGTCAAGAGATCGAGACCATCCTGGTCAACATGGTGAAACCCCGTCTCTACT